AGCTCGCCCCCGCTGCCAGCCCCGTCGGCTGCGAGGCCGGAGCCGCCTCCCGCATCTGGACCTGGAGTGGACGGCGCAGGAAGAGCCTCGGACCTTGAGCCGAATTGTCCATCTCAATACCCTTCCCCTTCTTTTAGCCAAAAGGCAGCGGAAGGCCGGAGGTGCAGCGGCCTTCCCAGGAGCAGTGTTAGCCATCATTTACACATTTCTTTTATTTTTTTTAAGTCATTTTATTGGGGGCTCGTACAACTCTTATCACAGTCCATCCATCCATTGTGTAAAGCACATTTGTACATTTGTTGCCATCCTCATTCTCGAAACATTTGCTTTCTACTTGAGCCCTTGGTATCAGTTTCTCTAGACATTTCTTTGCGTGCTTGCCAATGGCTTACCGTTTCTTCTGCCAGGGAATTAGGATCCAGAGAAGAGTACTCTAAAAATACTAATCGGCATATGCAAATGAGCTGAGCGGATTGCCTTACCGGCCCGTGGCCCTGACCTTTAGAAAGAAACATGCTTAGAAGGTTCTCTTCTCTTTCACAGCTTCGTGTGGCTGGCCCTTGCTTTGAAAGATGTTTTACAAAATCCATTTCAGAACTCTGTCAGAACTGGACCTCAGGACAGAGCTCTTCAATCCTTGTGTCTTTGTGTCCTTTCTTAATCATTATTATTATTTTTTTTAAACCAAGACTCCAGAGACTCAGGTGACTTGGCTCTCATCCTCCAAGGCGAAGCTAAGGTATGGCGGGTGCTCTGGGCGCTACTTAAAGGGAGGGAGGGGGGGGCGCCACGGAGCACTTTCTCTCAGTCACTATCAGCTTCCATCATCAGCTGAAAGATCACCCAGCCGGTGAAAATGAGTACAGGTGTATTTGTGAGCCCCCACAGGTCAAGGCAGGGAGCCCTGGTGACCTAGCGGATGACTCACAGTGGACTGCTAGCTGGAAGCTCACCAGCGGGAGCCCCATGTCTTTCTCTTCTTGTGAAGATTTACAGCCTCTGGAACCCTGAGGGGCAGTTCGACTCTGCCCTATGGGGTCACAATGAGTCCCTCTCGATGGCAGTGTGAGCGGTCCTGGCCGACTGCTCTCGCTCTGTTGAGTGTAGAAAGAAGAAACTCATGGGGGGTGGGGGCATTGAGCACACCCGAGACCAGTTTTCCATCAGTGAAAGCCAGGAAGATGCAGCTGTAATTTTCATGTGGTGCCATAATGTGTTCAGTGAAAGATAATGAGTGAGACTTGTCTTTTTGAGCTGATAGTAAAGTTGTCTACAAGATGGGTGTTCGGTACAGTTTCGATACATGTCACAGACGTTGTTTTCCGGCTACTTAGAGGCAGAATCAGACACTTACCATTTTCTCTTATAGAAAGCGCAGTTCAGCTGGAAGCTGTACAAGAACTTGACCTTCTGAACCCCTCTCGGAATAGCATTCTTGGGCGTGGCGTGTGTATTGAGGTGTATGGGTTCACAGAGAGCGGTTTGTGTGTGAGAATAAGGCTCAGCAGTAAGTGTAGCTATGCAGAAAATTCCCTCCGAGATGAGCCTGACAGCAGACATGTTGTTTTTGTATGTGTAATTGAAATACAGTTAATGAATATGAACAGTGGCTTGGCCATCTTTAGATTTTAGTCTTGCATGCTAAATTGACTCAGTTACAATTGTTGTCCTGATGTGTTTGTAAAATGCCAAAGTGGAGCTTTCTGATTTGGTTTCAGTTTTAACCAAATCACTGCCTTACAGACATCTCATGATTGCAACAAAACTCTCCTCTTAACACCTCAAAACCTCTGCTTCCCCCTTAATACATTTTTCTTTTCTTTTTTTTTTAATTAAAATTTCATTTTAATGGGGGCTCTTACAGCTCTTATAATAATTCATACATCATTTGTATCAAGCACATTTGTATATATGTTGCCATCATTAATCATCACGAACTTTTGATGCTTTATAATGTCTTAGAAATTTTCACTTTTATCTAGGAATTCAAAATTCTGTTGATAAAGATTTTACAAAGTATTATTGTTTTGAATTTTTTAAAGATGTGGGCTTTTTTCTACTTATTTATTCAAATTGTTATTTGTGCTTTCTTCTTCTTTTTAATTGATTAGGCTAACTGCTTATTTATGTATTTTGTTTTTCACCCAAGAACAACTGTTTGGCCTTATTGATGAATTCTACATTCTTTCCTCTATTCTATAACACATCAATTTCTGCTTTTTTTTCAGAGTTGAATAGTACTCAGATTAAAAAAAAAAATTCCCTTCCTCTCCTGAAGCCTGGAATCTTTGTTTAGGTCTATTCTTAAGGTCGGGAGAAAGACGAGGCTTTCTACTCCCTTAAAAAGTTACAGTCTCGGAAACGCACAGGGGTTTCTACTGTGGCCTATAAGGTCGCTGAGAGTCAGAATTAACTCAATGGCAATGAGGTTTTTCTTGTTGGTTTTTTTTTTTTTAATAGGTTTACCCAAGTTTCGATTTGACTAATAAGCCTCTGACCTAGGACCAAACCCTCAGCTGAATGTACAGTCAGGTCTGAACCACAATACACTGCTGTGTGTCCTGTGATCCTCGATCAGTTCCCACACGTGGTGAGGGTCTGTGATTTTGCTTGTTTGAGTGAGAGCTTCTCGTGAGGCGTTTCCGCGTTCTCTAGTACTGTCTTCAGAGCCGGTGTGCTGTGGCCCAAGGTGACTCACCACTGGAAGGGAATGACTGGGATCTATCTCTTCATCACAAGAGCCTGTGAACTCACATACCAGCTCAGGAGGTGCTCCTGGTTTGCAGTTTGCAGCTCAGGTTATCGCTAAGGAACAGGAGGACAGACATTTAGTCATACTTCACTAGCAGATTGTTGATAAGGAAGAATGGCTTCTGAGAGGACCATCTGTACTCGTCTGTAGTAGAAGTGAAGCTCTAGGCACCAAACACCTGAGGCTGCTTTCTGAGGGCATGTTCTTTGTTTGTCTGGTTTTGGTCTTTTCACCCTAGGATGGCATTAGCTCTATGTCTGCAGGTGCTGTGCAGCCTGTGCGGCTGGCTCTCGCTCTACTGTTCTTTCTGCCACCTGAATCCGCACCGAAGCTATGAGTGGAGCTGCCGCCTGGTGACCTTCACCCATGGAGTCCTCTCCATAGGCCTTTCCGCTTATATTGGCTTCATTGATGGCCCTTGGCCATTTACCCACCCAGGTAGGTGGACGACTGCAAGGGATTTTTCTCTTAGGAACTTATGGTTTGGGGTTGTCTTAGGATGTGAAAATCCCCAGGTGGGAGCAATTATGAAGTGCTCCACTGCTACCTGGAAGATTGAAGGTTAAATTCCACCCACAAGTGGCTCAGAAGAAAGTCCTGGCACCTCCTCCTGAACAACGTTGACGCTCTGTGGAGCACAGCTCTGCTCTGACACGCTTTGGCTGATCAGGCTTCATAGTCCACTCCAAGGCAGTGGGTGGTTAGGAAGGCGGTACTTTTCCACCCGGTTTGGATCATACTGAAGACTACTTTGCTTGGTAATGTGCATGGGGATTCTTCACTCCCCATTCGTACCCCTGATATTGCCTCTTTTCACCTACTTCTGCTCTTGCGGTGAAAACAAAACATGATGCCAATTGGACAGTTTTTCCATATACAATTCAGTTCTCCAGGTGGAGCAACTGTTGTCATTCTTTCCCACATCATTCCACCACCCTTGATAGCACCTCCATCCCTCTAAGCAAAACTCCCTCTCTCCCCTTTCCCACTACACGACTCTCTACTGTTAAAACAAAATTTTAGTGGCTAACCCTGAAGTTAGCAGCCCAGTGCATAACCACTATGCCATCAGGATTCTGAACTAAAACCAGACTGCATAAAAATTGTAACCTGGAATGGAATTGATGATGAAAAAGTGCCCTTAGATGCCTTTTAAAAATGTCCTCAGGTCCCCGTTTTATTGAGCGTCAGTCAGAGTGTCCCCCCACAACCATCCAGCTGACAGGAAAGCAACTCTTCAGCTTTCTATTTTATATGAAAGCTTTTAATGGGTTTGAACCTGTCGAGTCCGTGCACCCAAAGATCTTGGTCACCCACAAGAACACACTAGCTTTTAGGGTACTCCACTGATGTGCAGTAGCCTAAAAATGAATCGAACATTTGAGACAAAATGACTCAAGAGTTTGGAAACAGGCCTTTTGCTGGTGAACAACCGCCACCAAACAGTGAAGGGTTTTAATAGAAAGAACGAAATAAGTTGCTTGTATGATGTTGCGTAGAGAGGACATAGAGAATTACTTACGTCACTTGTTGCGGTCTGCTTCAGCAGGGCAGCATTCCCTGGAGGAAGCAACACCATTTGGTTACCTAGGTAAAGACCAAGACTCAATTGAGTCTACCCTTGGCTGTCATTAAAAAGCATGTGCCTTACTGGCTGGATAGAGGCTGGTGGAACCCCCAAGACTATGCCCCCTGAGGTCTGTAACTGACCTCCCCCCTGTTAGAATAAGCAACCATTTTCTGATCCAAAAGGGCAGCATTGACCCAAGGACAGAGTTCAGAGGGCGAGGATAGGAGGAGGAGTGGAGATAGGAGACACAGGGTAGAAGTGGGATGCTACGTTGAGAGGGGATTGCAATGGATGGGTAGAAGCCAAACACATATGAATTGCTGAGTGTAAAATGATGACCTGCTCATAAACTTTAACTCAATTCACAATAAAAAGTTAAAAAAAAAAATTTAAGGCACACCCCTGTCATGTGCTTCTGTCTTCTGTGATTCAGAAAATCTTGAGCAAGAACAATGAAGAATCTGTGTGAGGTCCTTAAGCTTCCCAGTCACTCAACCTGCGTCTGTCTTGGTTTATTCTAGGCTCGCTGAATACACCTCTGCAAGTACACGTTCTCTGTCTCACGTTGGGCTACTTCTTCTTTGACCTGGGCTGGTGCGTCTACTTCCGGTCTGAGGGTGCCCTGATGCTGGCTCACCACACACTGAGTATTTTGGGCATCATCATGGCCCTGGTGCTTGGAGAGTCTGGCACAGAGGTCAATGCAGTCCTCTTTGGCAGTGAGATCACCAACCCCTTGCTGCAGCTGCGCTGGTTTCTCCGTGAAACGGGCCACTACCACAGTTTCCCCGGTGACGTGGTAGACTTCCTCTTTGTGGCCCTGTTCACTGGAGTGCGGATTGGTGTAGGCGCACGCCTTCTTTTCTGTGAACTGGTCTCCCCCAAACCCAAGTGGTTCGTCAAGGTTGGGGGAGTAGCAATGTATGCTGTGTCTTGGTGCTTCATGTTTAGCATCTGGCGCTTTGCGTGGAGGAAAAGCATCAAGAAGTACCATGCCTGGAGGAGCAGGCGGGGTGAGGAGCGGCAGCTTCAACACAGCGAACTTCTCAAGACTCGCTAGCCAAGGCTGCTCCAGCCATGGGTTGGGTTAAGCAGCCTGGGGGACCGGGTTGAGGTCTTGGAATTGGGCTGATAAGAAATTGAGGTTACAAGAAAAGGGCTAAATGCAATTGCTTTGTGAGGTTAGTCTTTGAGCCAAGCCTATTCCAGTATTAAAACACTAACTTCTACCAGTGGCACCTTGGTCAGCAGTGAGACCACTGAGTGGTGGGTTTACGTCAGAACTGCCTGAGGCACTACGGTGTACATTTTAGGAGCCCTGGTGGCATAGCAGTTCCACGGTGGGCCACTAAATGCAAGGTCAGCAGTTTTAAAACAGTCTGCTCTGAGTAGTCCTGTGAAGAATGACAGTCTTGGGAACTCTTAGGAACAGTGCTACCCTGCCATATAGGGTCACTTGTGTGTCAGCATGTCCTCGATTCGAGCGAGTTTGCTTTTGATTTAGTATCAATTTCAGTTTGTGCTAACTCCAGGCCCTTTTTCCTGAGAGGCTTGGCGTTCTGACAACTTAGAAAGAAAGTTGAGAAAAATTAGTGCTATTTTTTCCTTGTCCCTTTGAGAAGTGGCTCCTTCAACAAAAGCCTGGTCGCTTGCTTTCCGTGTAGTCATGTCAATAAGTTTGCCTCATTTGCTGTAAAGCGAGGGCTTCCAGGAAGATGCATGCCTTTGGCATTCTAAGCTGTGGCTCAGGGAAACCAGGCTTGCCCTCTGCTTAAACAAAGGGGGCTCAAGGGAAATGGTGGTGGTGGTAGCAGGGTACTTGCTGAACCCTCCCAGTCCCGGCGGTCTCAGAGCACCCCCAAAGCACGCGTAGCTTGGGTCATTTTCTGGGAGCACTCACCGGGCTCAGCCTGCAGCTGTATTCAAGGACCGGGATTTGCCACAGCAAAAGGATACAAAGAAAATTGACTAAGGGAACAGGGGCAAGCGGTAAGGTCCAGGGGAAACCAAGCTGAAGCTTCCAGAATCCTCTCCCAGTAGAGTCCCGCTCGAGGCGCTCATACCTTCCTCCAGCATCGCATTGGGGTGGCAAGTGTGAAATGTTGACACCCAGGCGAACTCTCTAGAGACTCAGTGGACAGGGGTTTTATCCGGGCTGATGGCATAGGAACCTGAGCCGGGCACATACCAATGTCCCAGGTTCGGGGAAGGAAAGCAGGAATGCGCTGCCAGCCAGGTGCGCACCCGCAGTCTAGGCATAAGTAAGCCAATGCTACAGGTTCATGGTGGGGACTCTTGCGCACTGAAGTTCCCGATGCTGGCGGACTAGCCTTTTGCAACCTTACGAGCGGGTTTGGAATCAGGTACGCTGTCTTTTTGCACAAGAAATATAGCCAGCGATTTGAATGGGAGATGAATGTGGTGGGGGCAGATTTACCGAGTCTTGCCGTACAGGTTCTGCCCTACCAGGAAAAGCCTATGGCAGTTCTCGGGGCTTTTGTGCATTAATCTCCTAGGCATGAGGGGCCGGGACTAAATTCCATAGGGATTTACTCTGCGGATTCCACTGTGCTTGAGATGATAGTTTAGGTTTCAGTGCGGCTGTACCTTCTGCAAACTAGAGCCAAAGACTAAGGGTCTGTGTGTGCTGGCCTTGCGGTGATGAGGCGACTTTTATTATTCCTTCCAGTTTCGTCCCTTCCAGTCTTTTCCTGGCTTTTTCCTTCTTAAAAATGGTGGCACTCTATGGACAAAGTATTGTGACAAAGCCTGTTCTGGAGCGTAAACATCGCGTCATGCAGCAGTCTCCAATTGCAGCTCAGGGAGCAGATATCATAACCTTAGACCAGGAGGTTAAGGATACATTCCTGCGCTAGAGGCCAAATCTGTGACCCATTTACCCAATGAGCTGGGCAGGCTGGGTGTTGAACTCTTTGGCCTGGTGTGAATGAAGACCATCTGTCATTGTCTATTTCATAGGGAGTATGGATCCCCACTGCGGCCGAGCTGATTGCAACTCACACAGACCCCGCAGGACAGGAGTGCCGATGAAGGTCCCCCAGGGGAGCAGACGGCTGAATCTTTTCCCCTGAGAGTGGCTAGTGGGTTGGAGCCAACAGCCTTGAGGTTAGCTTAAGCCACCGTGCCACCAAGGACGTCTACACTAATAGGAGTCTTTAACATAGGGCTCCTCGGGGAAAATGGACTGTTATTTGTTGATTTACTGTTTATTTTTAAATTTAAAACTGTTGAGGTCACTGGTGAAGAGCCCAGTTGGTGGTCATGTGCGTGGCGCTCGTGAAGTTAGGGCTGAATGAAGGCCTGTAGGAAATGCCAGCCCATTTCAGGTTCCCCGGACTCTGCTGATCTAGTGGCTACACATTGGGCTGCAATCCACAAGGTCAGCAGTTCAAAAACCACCCACCGCTTCACAGGAAAAATATGGGGCTTCCTACACCTGTAAAGAATTACAGATTTGGAAACTCCGGGGCAGTTCTACCCTGTCCTTTAGGGTCACTATGAGTGAGCACGGACTGGCTGGCAGTGAGTTTGGGTTTTTGGTTTGGTAATATGATTAATGAGTGGTCTTGGATGTGGATGGCATTGGCCGCAGAAACCAGGCCTGAGACCCACACAGTCAGCCGTGGCATGGCCCACGGGAAAACCTTTTTCCAGTGTTGCCCTTTGTTTCGAGAGTTTTGCTGGACATTCAAATGATCTGGCAGGTAGCTGCTTGACCAAACGAACAACCCATCACCATCACAGATGATTCACAGCAACTCTGTAGGGCAGAGAACGAGGCCCACCAGGGTTCCAAGGCTGCCGCCTTCTTGGAAGCCAACAATGGCCATGTTTCCTTCCTGTGGAGCACGGTGGCTGGTGGGTTGGAACCACTGACCTTTCTGGTAGCCAAGTGCTAGGGCGCCTTTCTCTACGATCAAACTCCCAAAACCCAAACTCACTGTCATGGTGTCCATTCTGACTTGCAGTGGGGTTTCCAGTTGGGCTGCTAACCCCTATCCAGCAGCTACAAGTCTCTGATTTGTCTCCTTAAAATGCTCGTCAGCTGCTTTGCTACAAAACCGGTTGGAGTAGGATGCCGGGGAATGCTCTTTTTTTTTTTTTTAAGCAAAAGTCGCGTAGAGAAGAGTGGCTGGGCACATCAGCTTAAAAAAAACACAACAACAAAAAAGGAAGAAAGAAAAAGAAAAAAAAAAGTTGGCTCTTGAATTCTGGCACCATGAGGCCTAGTCCATACCAGACATGAATGGGCTTAGTCGGGTACCAGTTCTTCCCTTCTTCCTCCTTAGAAGCGAGGGGTTGGCAGATCCTGCTGTTTGGGGGCACTCTTATAGGAATGAATGTCGAGGGGTTTGGATGATGAGAAACCTGAGTAATTGGCAAAGGGGCTTCCTTACTTCAGCTTGATTTGATGTAGCTACTAACTGTGCAGAGACTCGCCCGAGAGAAAGGGTGACGCGGAGAAGAGGCAGCAGTTCCAGTGCTGAGGTTTCACACCACAGGCAGATGAAGGCTCATTAACCTGGGGCACGGAACGAAGTCCCCACTTGCATCGGGATCACTATGTAGCAGTTACTAAACACTGCCCAAGAAGGAGTCGTAGAACACATTTGTACTGAGTTTTGTAAAAATAAATGACTTTCGATCCATCCTACATTTTGCTTTTATGTTTGTATTGTAGTTTTGACAAGTTAATGAAGCCTTTTTGGTCTGCAGAAATGTTGCCCTATATTTCTAACAGTGCAAGGCTCCTTGTCTGCTGTTTTTCAACTACTTATACTAGTCTTTATGTGGGGGCCAGAAAGAGAACAAACCAAAGCAACAAATGAGCCAAACCCACTGCCACAAAGACACCAGGGGCCAGGGGAGAAATGCCCCCAGGGGTTCGGAGGTGGTAAATCTTTAAGGAAAAGGACAGCCACATCTTTGCCCCGTGGAGTGCCTGGTAGGTTTGAACTGACACCATTTGGCTTAGCAGCCGAGCGATGAACACCCGTGTCCTCCAGGGCTCTTTTTCCAGAAGTGAGAGCTTAATTTCTTTCATGTCCTAACAGCTATTTGGGAAGTTGCTTTGAAAATGCTATCAAATGAGCTCTGCAAAGGTAGTAGCCTTGGCTTTCTTCAGAACTACTCCCACCGTCTCGAACTCTTGTCAAACACACAGTTAGGCACCAGCTACTTGGCCCCTGCTCATGGTGGCCTTGTGCATGGTGGAGTAAGACACGGCAGAGTACTGTTTCAACCCAAGATTGGTTGTGAGCCAAAGGGTTTTGGTTGGCTGACTTCTGGAAAATCACCAAGCTTTTCTTCCTATTTGGTTTTGGTCTGATAACTCTGCTGTCCAGCCTCTTAGCAGCTCGACTCTCCACTGGCACATGGTGGTGCCTGCACATGAGGTGCACTGACGGGGGATCAAACCTGGGTCTCCTCCAGAGGAAATTCACCACTCATCTGCCACTGCCCTCCTGGGCACATAGTAGGTACATGGTAAATGTCGAAATAGCGGACGAGGAGATGAGTCTGCGGTCTAGAATGAGCAGCATGTCCATAGATTGGCTCATCAGTGCCGCTTTGCTACATGTTCTAGCTACATCAGCTTGACTCTTCTGAAGCGTTGTCTAGATAGAAACCTTTAGAACAATCCAGAGCAACCAAGAGGCTGTCAGGCCTTTGTTTCATTAGAGCTTTTGGGGCGAGCATAGAGATTTTCATCATGTAAAAAATTCATTCTGCAATGAGTAACCACTGGCCTAATTAAACCCTTTGCTTACCATCTTCTGAAGCTTTCCCACAGCAACATGCTTTCTTTGTTCACAGCTAGAGCTGGGCCCTGTTTGAGTTTGGAAAGATCTTGAAAGCAGCCTGCCAAGAGGTTTTGTATGCAAGGAAGAGAAGGTGAATTAGGAAACTTTCCCAGTTTGTTTTATTCCTGAAGCTCAAGTATTGAGGCATTCTTGAAGGGAAGAGGGGAACTCACTTTTATTTAGAGTTTAGCACATTTAACATGTTGTTTTTGTTCACATATTTAAAATTTTCTATTTGTTTTTCTTGCTGTATCTTACCTTATCCAGTTAATCCATTCACTTACAATTCTGTTATTTATTCCCCTCAAGTGAGGTTATACAATCATCCTGGCTATCAGCCCCCACCCCCTTCCCTTTTCCTCAGGGAGTCATTACTCCCGTTACTGTTTCTGAAGGGTTACCTTGGCTTACATGCATTGAACGATCTTAATTGTACAGATGAACCTATGCAGGTCTAACAAGTTTAATGAGGTTAAAAAAACACATAGTAAGGGGAGGAAATATTAAAGAACTAGAGGATAGTTATGTGGTTCATCAGTGCTATACCACCATCCTGGATTTATCATCCCTTTCATGTGGCCTTCTGAGAGGGGCTGTTCAGTTATTACAGGTGGGTTTTGGGTCTCAACTATATGCACCCCCACCCCCCCACCATCACATTGATTCGGTTGCTTGTTTTTGAACTTCTGATACCTCTTCCTGTCAACAACTCATGATCACACATATGGGCTTTGTTGTTTCCTTGCTAGGCGGCTGCTTATTTAACTACAAACCTTTAAGACCCCAGACACTCTTATCTTTTTCTTTTTTCCCCCACTCTTATCTTTTAATAGCTGGGCACCATGAGCTTTCTTCACCACATTTGCGTATACATTCATTTTGTCTTCAGCAATCATGTTGGGAAGATGAGTATCATTATTAGAACAAACCATTCTTGTACTGAGGTGAGATTTAAGTAGAGGCCCAAAGTCCATCTGCGGGAACTTTTTAAAATACATGATTTGATGTGTCATTTGATCCTTATAAGGGTTTGATACTTATAAAATCCTTGGGAACGGGGAAAATAAGATCTTTATTTTCAAGAATTATTTATTAAGTTCGGTACTAAAGTTTGTACTTTGGTCCTTGTACACAGAAGAATGAAACATTCCAGTTACATGTTCAAAATATGCACTATGTTTTCAGGATAGAATTGTGATGCTAGGATACACCACCAGGTGGCAATCATCCTTGATCTGATCATTAGGAAAATGATTTGGAACCCTAATCTGGTTCTATTCTTTCCAAAAATAAACATAACAAAATTAGATGGCTGTGCCCTGAACTTAAAAATTCAAGCAATAAAGAGATGTCCCTGGATTCTGTTTATCTCTGCCCGCCGCCCCCAACCCCCCTACCCCCGCCCTGTTCTAACATCAGCCTTAGATCATGCATCTATTCAGGGATAATGATCCCTTTCATGGACTGTTGCCGAATGACTTGGAAACTGCAATGCAAAAGGGTAATTGTTTCCTCTCTTCATTTATGTTTATTAGTTGTTTTGCCACTTGATTTCCACAATGTTTCCTCTCTCCATTTGTTTATTCGTTTTGTTTTGCCACTCGATTTCCACAAAATGGCTGCAGTCACCCAAGAACCCAGGTTTACCCTCAAAAGTATGGAAATAGTTGGACAAAAGGGATAGCCATTTTAATTGTTGCAAGCGTAGTGTATGCATTTTTAAGATAACGACATGCAGAATTCAATCATTACACTAAACATACCTATCCACCTGGCGGAGGGGCCATGGGAGGATTCTTCTGAGAGAACTGTAATGCCATTTACTGAATCATCACACTTTATTTCCATCTCTCATTTCTTTCCACGTCAAGCTTGTTAAGTCGTCGTGGAAAGCACCATGCTTTCGCAATTGGGCAAATAAGACATTTGCTTTTGCCAAGGCAAAAAACAGGCTAAAAGCAACATCCCCGCCCTCCCTCCCCCCCCCAAGAAAAAAAAACCACCACCCTCTTTTTTCCCTCAAGTCCCACCCCTCCTATCTGAGGAGCTCTTCGGGCAGCTCAGTGGGCTAGCCGTGTTCTGTTAGATACAAGGCCAGCAGTCTGAACCTCGAGACGCTTCGCTTCGTGGCAGACAGATGAGGCTTTCTGCTCAGGTGAAGATTCACACCTTCGGAAAGCCACAGGGGCAGTTCTGTTCCGTCCAATAGGGTCCTGGAGTTGGCATGATTTGAATGCAGTGAGTTTGGCTTTACATTTCCTCTAGGAACGAGGGGCGGGGGCGCAGTGGGTTGCCACTTAGACTGCTTGTAAATGTAAGGCCAGCAGTTTGAAACCACCAGCCGCGTGGGAGAAAGTCAAGATTTCCTCCTCAGGTAGGGTTAAAGTCTCGGAAACCCCTAAGGCCTGTTCTCTCTTGTCTTATAGGATCAGTCTCGGCACTGACTTGGTGGTACTGAGTGAGTTTGGATCGATACTTCCCAAGACCCCTGCCCCCACCCCTGGCAGGCAGGTGTCCCAGGAGAGAGCCCAACACTCACACATTTCCCCCCTGGGGTTAGACGAGAGGAATGGTGTCTGGACCATCGCTCAAAGCTATTCTGCGCATACAGAAAATATGGGCAAGCAGTACAGTCAACTAAAAAAGTTTCTAGGACCAGGTTGGCGGTGGTGGTGGGGGGAGCTTCCTAAGGCAGCCCCTGTGAACTCCTTGGGACCTGGGTAGCGCTCTTTGGTGTCCCCCGGTTAAAGCTGGCTGCATTCGAAAGCCTCGGTCTTCGGCTGGGAGCCTGTGTTGGGTGGCCAGGGATCGGCGAGCGGGCGCCCGGGAGCCAGGACCGGCCCCCTCGCCCTCCGCTCCGTAGGACTACTTTCTCTAGCCGGCGGTCGCGCCTCCGCGGAGGCGTCGGCGCGGCCTGCGCTGAGCAGCCCCGCGCGCGGTCCGCGGAGCGCGGCGGAAGGATCCCCAGTGAGGCGGCTCCCCGAAGTCGGAGGGGAGGAGGCCCCAAAAGCCGGCGGGGGAGGGGAACGAGCTCGCTCGCTCGCTCCGGCCGGGGCTGCGGCTGGGACTGGGGCCGAGGCTGAGGCTGAGGCTGGGGCCGGGAAGGCAGGACCGGAACCGGAACCCGCGCGCGCGCCTGCAAGTTGTCGCGCGCCTCCCCCTCCCCAGTCAGCGTGCTCCCCGCCCTCTACGCGCGCTCCCGCGAGGGCCCCCGGGAGCCGGCCAGCGGGCCCTGCGCGGAGTGGCCGCCGCCTCCGCCCTCCGGCGTCCTGGGCTGGCGCTTGCAGGCCCCGCCGGACTGGAACCTTCCGCCCCTCGCGGGAACCACCGCCTCCCGGAGCGTCGGGGAGGAGCCGCGGCCGCTGCCAACTGCGGAAGAGTCTGGGCCCAGAGGGATGGGGAGCAGCCCGTGGCGCTGAGAGACCCAAACCCCTGTCACCTCTCGCCGCGGGAACCCCTCCTCCCCAGCGCCCGCGCCTCGTCTCAGCGCCCCGAGCCTGGTGGGGGCGGCGAAGAAGGCGAGAGTGGCCCCCCGCCCCCGGGACATGGAGCCGCGCGAGCCTGGCGCGGGACGGCCCGCGACGCTGCCGAGGCTGCAGCCTGAAGGCGCCGGCAGCCCCAGATAGAGGAGACGAGAGGGCCCGGCCTTGCCCGTCGCTGCCGGGAGTTTGCGGCCCCCGAGACCCCGGCGGAGCAGCCGGCCGGCACTGCCCCTCGATCGCATCCCTCCCAGGCTCGGAGGGGTCCCCGGGTCCCCTCCCCGGCAGCGCGCGGACTCCCCACGCCGACCGAGTTCCCCCCTCGAGCCTGCTGGAGGAGTCCTCGTTCGCCGTAGCACGCGCCTCCGGGCGAGTTTGACTTTCTCGGTGTGTTTTTGGAGCCCGTCGCCCCTTTCCTCGACCCCTTCCCGTCGGCTGTTCTAGATGACCGAATGGAGTTTTGAGCCGGACTTCTGTGTCCCTGCCGGTGTTGGGCCTGATCCCAGAGCATTGGGGGCGGGGTGGAGGTGCGACTGTACAATGCAAGTTGGATAAAAGGAGGACCTCTCGCCAAGGGCCCCAATGAGCGGCACACAGTCGACTATCACCGACAGGTTGGTATGCAGCGCCGCGGCGTAGCCGTCCAGCCCTCGCCGGCCCCGAGCCCGCGATCGCCCCTTGCCTCGGGCCCGTGAGCTTGACAGGCAGTTGGCGAGGGGCGTTGTTCCCCAGCCACTCCGGTGTCAGGTAGTCCGGGGCTGCTGCCAGGGCGGCTGCTGCTTGCACTGGAAATGTTCGTTTTTTTCCGGAGAGAGACGGGTCTCTCTTCTCGGAGGGGGAGTGGGGAAGACCAAGGTCGTGTTCGCGTCGAGGGGGGAATTAGTATGCTATACTCATCTTGGAACCAGAGGGAGGGAGGTCATTTTGGGTGAAGGTCAGTGCTTCACGTCGGCTGCGCATTGGTGCGCCGTCAGTGGGACTAACTCCCGGCCCGGGGTACCCGAGACAATGTAAAATCTCAGGACTTTTGTGAGCTTCTTTTTGAGCCTATTGCACGGTGATTTCTGAACTTGGATCTCTTTTGCCTATTGAGTCGCACAGTGTTTGATTTTCTCTTAAGTTTTCAGGATGTTAAAATTACCAGTAAATCACAGACTTGGTGGAGCTGGATGGGTGTGGGGGGGCCAGGGCAGGGGGACTGGGATCAAAAATGAGAGAAAATCCTGGGACTTGCTCCTAATGACTATATGTTATTATTTCATTCCCCCCAAGCATTTGCCTTCTAGGGGATATAAGCCCTAAGGGAATTGTACAGCACAAACGTGGCAGGTGGGTTTGCCCCATTCTTCGTGGCGTGTGAAGTTGTAAGTTGCTCGGCTGTGTTTGAATTGAGTTAGACCCGATCTCGTTGACGTGGAGTTCCCTGACTAGCTCTTTTCTTCTGAACAGTAGGTTAAGAGAGAAGTTTATTTATTCCTTTGCCACATTTTTCTTCTCAGCCTAATTATGACATTATCTCCTGGGCCCACATTTCAGTTTGCTCTTTTTTCCTTTTCCTTTCCTTTTTAAGGCAACCTTCAAGTTATTACATCACATCCAACATAGATCAAATGACTGAATTACAGGGTCGAGATTTTAAAACCACTTTGATGAAAAGTGCAACAGTGGAGCTCATGCTCTGTTCCCAGTAGAAGAGAGTTTGGATCAAAAGTAAGGCGAATTTGTTGATTTTAAAAGGGCCAAATTCCATTATCATACCACAACAGCTACTCCAGAAACAGAAGAACTTCCTCTTCCTGTTGATGCTTTCCAGTGTCATGTGAATGTTCACCTAAAAGATTCCATGAAATGTTTAAACTCTGTACATTTATTCTTTGGCTGCGGGTTTTTTTTCAAGCAGCTTTACATTTTTGTTTCTTTTCGAGCACCCTCAACAGGAATCATGACAGTGCTTAGCTTGCCTTCTGGTTCCCCCTCTCCCCGCCTTTTTTTTTTTTTCTTTCAAGGTTTTTTGCTTCTGAGAAATCAGTGAGTGTGTGGGGAATTGTTTGCCTAGCTCATATAAGTCTTGCCCTTTCTGTGGGGCCTGTAGACAAAGTCTAATGCAGAAGTAGTGCATGCTGGGCAGTTTTGATTGTGCTGCTAGAGGTGTTTGTTCAATTTTGTAGAAGCACGATTTACGGTCATCAGATTATTCCCCACACAAGCCACCTAAACCCCTCTCCAGTAATGACCTTGCTTCAGCTTTCCTCCCAGGGTTTTTTCTTCATCTTAATCATGAACTGGGGTTTGTGTCCTTTACATTCCGTGGGTGGGGAGTAGTCATTCACTTAGCATCCATTGAAAGCCTCTTCATTGCCGGGCACTGTGCTAGGCTTTCTGCTCTCACACTTGCTGAGTCACGGTCTCAAACGCACACGGGCACCTCTTCCCTGTCTTGCGGGGCTGCTGTGAATGGACTCCGTGGCCCTTGGGAGTTTGGTTTGGTTTGGTGCGAGGCACTCTGACCCTTGCCGTGGGGTCGATTCTGGCTCCTAGTGGCCCTGCAGAGGTGTCTGCCCACACAGACGGTTCTGCTCTGCCCTATCTGTAACAGGGTCGCTCTGGGTCAGAATTAACTTTGTGGCAGTGAATGAGATAGGGTCTCCAAGCCTGTCCATCTTTTTTTTGCCTGTCAACCTTTACAGAACCAAACAACCATCTTTTTCCCACAGCAGCTGGTGGACTCGAACCACCAACCTTGCCAGTAGCAGTCCAGCACCTAACCAAACTCGCCAGTGGGTTTGGGTACTGATAATTCCTAATTTCTTCCTGTATAGGATGATTTTACATATTTTTCAGAGGTGGCAGTGGGGGAGGGCACTTTAAAATTTGCTTTAGTTAATAAGCATGGCTGAAACAGTATGGACACCTGTTTCTTAGAAATGTGCTACCGTGCTCTTTTTCGAGCCAGAAATGTTCTTATGTGGCCACATTTTCCTTAAAACATGTCTTGCTCAGAAGTATCCAGTATCTCTTGAGGAAAGTAGCAGTCCCTGCGTTGAATAGGTGTCAGGGTGAGCTGGAAGTACAGGTTTAGTGGTGTTTCTGAGGTAGGGGACTCCAACCAAATGAAGACTGCAAGAGTTACTGACTTCCTCTCAGCCCGACCTCCTCCACCCTCGCGCCTCTGTCCAACACCCGTGTATTGTAGGTATTTTCTGCTGATTCCACTGCTCTTGGTCAATTAACTGGTGGCAGTGTGGCTTTTAGGAGATCCTTTCAAGTGTGAAGTACTGTCTGTGGCGTGCTTTGTTGTGTCGAGTGCGCAGCTGTGTGAGTTGGAGTTCTCACTGTGGCGCTTCTGACTACAGAGTCTGTCTGCCCTCAGCTGAAGTCAGACGAGCTGGTTTGGGCGTTGTTCTGTTTTGCAGTTTGTGGCAGGGGACACATGGCTGAACAAGATAAGGGTTTTATTCTTGTGGTAGGGACGGCTGGGGCTGGGATGGAATTCAGCTATGTTTAGGCTTTAGCTGGTTACTTTGGATACCCAGAACTCTGCTCTCTTCTGTTATTATTTTGCAGTGAAATGAGCAAATTCATGTAATCCAGTGGTTCTCAACCTGTGGGTCGCGACCGCTTTGGGGGGGGGGCAAACGACCCTTTCATAACAGTAGCAAAATTACGGTTATGAAGCAGCAACTAAAATAATTTTATGGTTGGGGGGTCACCACAACAGGAGGAACTGTGCTAAAAGTCACGGCATTAGGAAGGTTGAAAACCACTGCTTTAGTCTCTTCCTCTTCGACTCTCTTTTGCCCTCCCCCCACCCTTTGTTTTTCAAAGCCATAGATTTAAAACAAAATGTGTTCATGGTGCCACTGTTCTTAGGTGGTACACCTGAAAAACTTGAAAAATGCTAAGCAGCTTCTGAATACTTGCCCATTTCTTGCTGCTTAACTTGGGTGAGACCTGAGACTGTAGTTTTTCCATCTTTGAGAATAAGCACTGAAAAGTGGTAGGGAACCCTGATGACGACTTTTGGTTTTGCATTGGCTGCTGTCGGCAGCCCTAATGTTCTCATTGTTCCTGACCCTCCTCTTTGTCTTTTTAGCCCTTGAGAGTTTGGCGGACCCATAGCACACTTAGAACTAGTTCTGGTACAGCAGTTGGGGTTTCTTAGGAGAGGTGCAGTGGAGAGAATGTTCTTTCGATGAATTTAATACACTATTTCAGGATAAATTCTAGAACAGTAATTTTTCAGGCAGAACCCAGGTAGAATTTTGTTGATAGGTTGATAGGTGTGTTGATAGACGTAAAAGGACCTTTGTTTCTTCTAGGGCATATGGATTTTTTTAGATAAATAAAGGCGTTTGATGTAATGCTGTTGGCTTATAACTGAATTCCGCTTTAGCCTTGTTTAAGAAGATTTTTAGGTGATTATAGAAGGATGTGACTTTATATGCATGTAATTATTGTTGGGTGCTGTGAGTTGGTTTTTTTCAACAGAAACAAAACCCTGCCCAGCCCTGCACCATCCTCATGTTTGTTTCTACATTTGAGCCCGTTGTTGTAAACACAGTGTTGGTCCATCTCCTAGCGGTTCTTCCTATTTTTAACAGACTGTCTACTTACTGGTCCAAGCATGATGTCCTCCAGGGACTGCTCTCGGCACATCACATGTCCAAACCAAATGAGACAAAATTTCCCCAGCCTCACTTCTAAGGATCATTCTGCTGGACTTATTCCAAGACAGACTTTTTTGTTCTTCTTGCAGTCCATACATAGTATTCTTAATGTTCATTACCACTACCATGATTTAAATGCATCAGGTCTTCTTTGAACTTCTGTATTCATTGTCCTGCTCTCACATGCATATGAGGCTATAGGAAATACGGCTTGGGTCAGGGGCACCTTTGTCCAGAAGGTGACAATGCCTGGTGATGACTGTTTTCTTCTTCTTTTTGTTAAATCATTTTATGGGGGCTTATACAACTCATCACAGTCTATACATACATCAGTATATAAAGCACATTTGCACATTCGTTACCCTCATCATTCTAAAAAATTTGCTCTCTACGTAAGCCCCTGGCATCAGCTCCTCATTATTTCCCCCTCCCTCCCTGCTCCCCACTCCCTCATGAGCCCTTGATAATTTATAAATCATTATTTTGCCATATCTTACACTGTCCGACTTCCCCCTTAACCCACTTTTCTGTTGTCCATTCCCCAGGGAGGAGGTTATATGTAGATCCCTGTAATCGGTTTTCCCTTTCTACGCCACCCTCCTTCCACCCTCCTGGTATCACCACTCTCACCACTGATCCTGAAGGGATCATCTGCCCTGGATTCCCTGTGTTTCCAGTTTCTATCTGTACCAGTGTACATCCTTTGGTCTAGCCAGATTTGTAAGGTAGAATTGGGATCATGGTAGTGGAGTGGGGTTGGGGTGGGGGGGCCCGGGAGGAAGCATTTAGGAACTAGAGGAAAGTTGTATGTTTCATCATTGCTACACTGCACCCCGACTGGCTCGGTCTCCTCCCGTCGACCCTTCCGTAAGGGGATATCCAGTTGCCTGCAGATGGGCTTTGGGTCCCCACTCAGCACTTCCCCTCATTCACAATGATATGACTTT